TTCAAAGTGGAAAGCAAAAGAATGTAAGAGGGGCATGGGGACGTGACTAATGAACAGAGGAAATGTTATTTTAGTGCCAGGAATGTCTTTCTTGTTTATTCTGGACCCTATTTGGAAATTGGCATCTTTTGAAATTTGTGTGAAATTGGCAAAATTGTTAAATTCTGACCACTGTATTGGATAGTTGAAATTGGTAAATGGGTGGTTTCTTGCACTCATTTGATAGAAAAAAATGGAGTTCTAGCGAAATAGTTATGATTTTTGTCGACTAGTACACTAAAATTGGCCAAAAATAGGGTTCACAGTGGGCAAAATCGCCGATGCGTAAACATCGTCGAGACCGCTAACTTCGAGAGAGCATAATTCCGTAAGTTTTCCATCAAATTTCATACTTTTGGTGCCATTATGATCGGGAAAAGATTCTCTATCTCTTCATAATAAATAATTTTTTTTTTGAAATTTGGGGGACCCTGAGAACAAGTCTCTGAGAGGGCCTGTGGACCCTGAAAGGGTTAAGACCGAGGTCCCTCATGTAGCTCTACATCAAGAGCTCAGCTCATTCATAAGATGTGAGCAGTAAATTTTGGCCTAGATATGAGAGAATGGGTCTGCACCATGTGTACAGTATATAAAAAAAAAATCTGCCCCATTTAATGCATGACAAATAAGGTCCCCCTACACCCCCTGGTCTGTTTATGGGTTCTTAATAGGTCTGAATCAATTACTAGGACATCATTAATCATGACCAATCATTTCTGGTTATATTATCCAGGAAATAGAGAATCTTCTATTTTTTTGTGATTATGAATTAAAAATGGAAAGCAAGCACTGCGGTACCCCGAGTTTTGTACATAATTCATTCCAGAAGGCTGTTTGAGTGCCATTACCGAACGAATTTCTTCCCATAAGAATAATGTAAATTAGATTAGCCCATTTCAGACCCCCAAAAATACACTGACAAAAGCACTTACAATAATACACTTACATAATTGTTTAAGTTGGGAGCAATACGAAACTCGGGGTACAACTATATAATATAGGCGAGGCTTGGAGATGTGATTCATGAACAAAGGAAATGTTTTAGTTCCAGGAATGTCTACACTGTTTATTTTGCACTATTTTTAAACTGTTATTTTTTTTTAATTTTGTGTAAAACTGGTCAAATTACAGACTTCTGTGCCCTTTACAAGGTAGATGTAATAATTAAATGGGCAATTTTTTTTTGTGTGTGCTCAGTCGATAAAATGGAGGGCATACTAGTGAAATAGCTCAAAATTTGGTTGAATAGAGCAATGGAATTGGCTCAAAATAGGGCTCAAAGTCAGTGAAATTGCCAATGCATAAATTGCACCCAGACTGCTAACTTTGTGCCTGTGTAATTCCATATGTTTTCCATCAAATTTCATACTTTTGGTGCCATTACCTTTAGAAAAAGATTGTCACATGTCAGAAAAAAACAAGTGGACACAGAGAGCAATATTAATTTCTGGGGTCTGGACAATGAAAGGGTTAAACTGTCAATCACATATATTTATACCAATTTGGAAACTGCCATTGACATACAGCATGTTTACACTTAAATTGTAGGGCCTCCAAAATGGTTGCAATTCACTTGGTTAGGCTTAAAGCAAAGAAAAAAGGTTTGTGCCAATAAATATAAGTGAAATATATGAAAACATATACATATGTATTGATCACCTTCAAATCTTCATAAATACTAATCAGATTTCACTCAATCTTGTCTTATTACATACTAAAATCAGAGAGAATTTTTTCAGCAAGATAATGCAGTTTTTTTTTTTTTAATTATTGGCAATGAGGGCAGGTTATTTAAGAATCTTTAGCAGTTTAAGGTTTAAATCACTTGGGTGTTCTCATTTAGAATATTGTATGGTGATGACAGCTCTGTTAAAAGTAAGAGTAATAGAGCTGGAAAATGAAAAGAAATTGTTTACTGCTGCATAGTCAATCAATAGCAACAGTATATTTAAACTACTGGGAATGCCTTAAACATAAGAAATAACTCATAATATACACATGGAAGGTACTCATGGGTTAGTAGCAAGTCTGCACACAGCCCTAACAACATATATGTATACCTATACACCATACTGAAGTTAGAGATATAGGAGGCAATGTAAATAAACCCAGTGACAAACAGAGGCACCATTACCTGGAGAGGGCTTCGGGGTCAACGCCCTCACGGCCTGGGCATAATAAGAGAACACTACCAACATCTCACATCTAAGACTATTCAATCTGCTACCTGTGTTTTAAGGGTTCTTAAGTAGAGTGATGGTGAATGATAACTCAGAGACTGTTATACTAGTATATCGAGTAAATATGTGGTAGGAAGCCCAGCCTGCAGTCTGATGTCCTGATGGCCTTGAGGGTACAAGACTGACTACTAGGGTATGCCCTCGCTTGACCCAGCCTTACGGCAGGGGCAGCATCACAGCAGGTTCAAACTATGCTAACATAATAGTATTTGAAAAGTCCACGGCATCACAGATAGTATATATGAAATATGCTGACACTTGCAGATATCCAGATATTAAGGACCCCAATGGAAATAAAAGTCACTGATTTTTTTTTTTTGTTATCCTAGATAATTTACATTATGTATGACAATTGTACCTGTGTGTACCCAGAGTCTAAATAAACTTACTTAAAATACAGATGGAACAAGTGCAAAAGTTTTCAAGAGGAAACTGGATTATTAACTCTGCCAAGTGCCCAATCAACCAGGCTATGATGGAAACATAAGGTAACTGACCACCTACATCAACAGGTTGGTTGATCAGGAAAGCAACAGAAAAGCCTGGCCCCACACTAGGTCAAAGGTAAAGAAATTCTCAAAACTGATAAAAGGTTGTCTTTCAATGTGTACATCATTTACCTTTATATATGGCCCAACATTTAATAGTTTTATTCCCAGATACTATATACAGTATTTTAAATGAGGGATACATTAAATCTGCAGGGGTCCTTCAGCACCTAAAGGCATTCAGGTTCACTCCAATGAAGAGGAGGATATGCCCAATTTCTTGAATCAAGAGCACCTCACCAACACCAAGGTACTTCCCTGAGAAGTAAACACTTTAGTATTTTGTCACCATCCCTGATACTCTTTCTGGTTAATAGTATGTTTGCCAAGGTCAATCAGATCTAGACCAGTGATGACAAAGGTGCATGTCAGCAAACAAACTGGTTAAGATGTATTGGTAGGTCAGTGATATAAAGGAGAAATAAAAGTGGTCCTAGAGAACTGCCTAGCAGCAGAACTATGTTAGTGGGTTTCAGTATTTATTATTATTATAATTACTTCATTTACAGGATTGCTCAACTCCTAGGAGTTATGCAGCACCTGGGAAAATAAGAGGTATGGTCAATATTGAAGTTAGTTACTCATCAGAACTCATGCATCATATTCAAAATACAAGCAGGTCATCTGCACCCAAGCAACAACTGGTATTATGTAAAAAAAAAAAATAATAATTTTAGGAGATAATAGTAAAAATGCATTTATTTTGGCACGAACAGTACATTAAAGGTTAGAATCGTCATGTACTATGCCAGGCTAATGACAACAGAATAGAGTGATTCATTGTACATAAACAAAGGCATGCCATTTCCAAATCTACCACTGCCAGAGTATGACTAAATTACATTAGGTTACTTCAGGATGGGTTATGTTGGGTTTCCTTATATTAGGTAAAGTTTCTTACCATTTCCACAAAATAAATCCACACAATCCATCTAATATTGAACATTTTCAAGAATAAATTCTTTCAAAACAGACCAGGAACTGAACTCAAAAAAAGACTTATTCTATCTGAAGGAGCAGGATATTTTGGTCTACTTTAACAAAAGGTTTTCTTAAATCAATAAAGGCCTAACAGTCAATAATGGTATGCAAATCTCTCGCTTCACATGCTGAGGGCCCGGGTTTGATTCCCAGCAAGGGTGAAAACATTGGGCATGTTTCCTTACACAGGTTGTCTATGTTCACCCATCAGTAATAATGGGTACCTGGGTGTTAGTCGACTGGTATGGGTCGCATCCTGGATAAAAATGACCTAATTTGCCCGAAATGCTTTGCATAACAAGGGTCTTTCTATATAGTAATATGCGATTGATGTCAGCTAAGCCTGTATACCTTGTACATGTACTTGTAGAAATAGATATATTAAAATTGTAATATACAGATATTAATGGCTCTGGACATCACCTTTTCCCAGTCTTTAAATATTCCACCAGTTTCTATACATTCAATTTGTTACAAGTTTAAATAGGAGTTAGGTTATGTTTATTTATCAGGTTAGGGAACAAGAATTATTCTTCTAAAATGACAGGATACGTATTTTTTGTTTTAATTTTATCCTTGGTTAGTTTAGACCCAGGTTATTCTGCAATACAATTGCAAAAATTTAAACGTATTGAAGCTTTTAAAAAAATAACTTGCTTAATCCCGGCACATCAAGGCTTAATAAACATTACCAAATTTCCTTATTTAATGCTTTATTTTGTTATAGTTCACGAGTAACATCATCAGCTGATTGTAAATTACTTTGAGCTACATCTTTTATTACATTCCTGCCCCTGGACACCTGTTATAGAGATAACTGGTGAAAAACAAACGGGTGTGAGAAATGTGTAAACAGAGTAAATAGTTAAGAGTTATAGTGGAAAATTAAAAATTTATGTTGCCCATGTGCCTCTCGTGGCTCATGTTATACCTCATAGTTACCCACTACCATCATCTCAACCATAAAAAAAAAATTACCTTTTCTTTCTTGCGTAAGTTGGGCATTTTTTCATGATTTAAGAAAAGGCTCTGGTCTCTTCACCCGAAGGTTCCAACAATATTCCGCATAAGACATTCTAACACGAGTTATTTCCTCCTTCACGCCCACACTGCCCCCTCTAGAGCGCCCACACCCCCGCCCACACCGCCCCAACCTCCACCCACACCCACCTACCACCCACACCCAACCTACCTCCATTTCCAGCAGTATTTTTGTACTTTTCAGGAGAGATAAGTTGTGTTGGTTGTGTGAGCTACGAGGGCGCTGATTGGTCCTCCCAGGTCACGTGCTCTTCATTCACTTGTTTCCCCGACGGGCATTATGGGACCAGCCTCTTCACCCTCCCGCATTTACACGTCTTTTTCATCTCTTTTTACCTTTCCATGACTTCAAGGGCCCCATCACTGAGGTCCCTAGGAACAACTCTTCATCACTGATAACTTGTAAGGCAAAACGCTCGCTAGATCCTACGATTTTGACATAAAATTTAAGACACCAAAGACCACCTGCTCTCTCAACAACCTCAATCACTCACACTCCCTCCTGATGTTCATTTGTTTTAAGATAACAACACATTCATTTTTAATAACCGGCGAAAACGAAACTAGGGTTTAAATACCTTTTTATATTCGCAGAATGCGTAAATGTCCCCATATTCAGAGTTTTTTTTAGGTCATTAATGGTCAAATTGCAGTGTTGCAGCCTCGCCTTGATCTGGTCGTCATGGTTACCGTGTCAACTACCTCATGCACGAGACGCTCTTGAGATATATTCAATTTTAATATATGAAGTGGGTCCAGAAATTACATCACTCACCTCTACCTTAAATAACATGGTAAGTAAAAGGACACTGGGCAATGAATAAGTATTTAAATATTATAAGTAAGATCATCCCGGGAACATCAGGAATCCAGGGCCTCAATTCATGTCCTTTATTTTAAAATTCCTGTACATAAGAGACATACAATAACCTGAGGGACCATGGAATGCATAGCATTTCGAGCAAGACTTAATCTAAGTCACTGTGGCTTTTTTTTTTAAGTTATCCTAGGTAATTTGCAATCATGTCACAGTGTAAGACAATATTAATCATCCAAAATTTGGGTAATTGTACCTAAATAAACGTACTTACCTACCTACTTTTTCGCCTATTTACCTATTTGCCTACTTAAACACTTACCTGCTTAATTTACTATTTACTTGCCTATTTACTTACCTACTTATTTACTTAAATATAACCCTCAATCAGTAACCACTAGATTGCCACATAAAATAACATTAATAGGACCGCACAGACATTCCATTAATAATCAAACTCACCAAGGACCCCAGTGGAAATAAGTCACTATGACTTTCTTGGGTTATCTTAGGTAATCTACACATATGCTGCTATGTATGATAAATCATGTAACTATGTATGTATACATGTACATGAATAAACTTACTTTCTAATGAATAGGCAATGCTATTAAGATTAACCCTCAATAAGTCACATTGTTTCACTTTACTGAGTTATCCAAGGCAAAATTCTCCATGATTTATTATATGCAACCACTGTAAACGTTTCGTGTTATATATGAGGCCTAAATCAAGCTTTACTTATACAATCATATGCAAGAATAAAATATATAGTCCATCCCTCGTGAGACGATTATAATGTGCTGGTTCATAACGATAAACTCCCATACACATTTACATTTAAAAAAAAAATTAAGATACCCCAGTAGCCCTAGTAAATAAACGATGATACCAGAATAACTTTGTAAATAAACTATAACACTAGAATAACCATTGTAAATAAACTATGATACCAGGATATCTTTTGTAAATAAACGACGACACCAGAATAATCATTGCAAATAAACGATGATACCAGAATAACATTTATAAATAAATGATGACACCAGAATAACCATTGTAAATAAACTATGATATAAGAATAACTTGGTAAATAAGCGATGAATGCCGGAATAACTGTAAATAAACGATGATACCAGAACCTTTACAAAGAAACGAGAATAACTTTGTAAATTAACAGTGATACCAAATAACATTTGTAAGTAAACGATACCAGAATAACTTTGTAAATAAACGATGATACCAGAATAACCTTTATAAATAAAGGATGTCATAATAACTTTGTAAATAAATAATGATACCAAAACAACTTGTGTAAATAAACGATGATACCAGTATAACTTTGTAAATAAACTATGATACCAGACAAACTTTTGTAAATAAACATTGATATCAGAATAACCTTTAAGAGGTCTGAGCTTGCTACCATCTGCAGCTCATAAGACTGCCATCCCCACGAGCCCCTTTGAGGCGGGGTAGATAGCAGACCAGAGGCCTAGCTTCTCCCTACGAGCCCCGTGAGGGCGGGGAATATGGCTAGGCCTGGGGACACTTGGTCCCAAAGATGAGGAGGTACTTGTACCTCCTCCCATGGGAGACTTAAGTCTCGAGACACTCCCCAGATAGGGAGCCAAGGCCGGGTCACCACTACTTGGAAAAGACCCGGGCCGGGAGAATACCGGCGAATAAAAAAAAATAAATAAATAACCTTTGTAAATAAACGATACCAGAACAACTTTTGTAAATAAATGATAATACCAGAATAGGTTTTGCAAATAAACGATGATGGCAAACTAACATTTGTAAATCATACTTTTATGTACATTATACTTACATTATCCTATATAATTGTCTGTAATTATTTTTGTAAATAAATATTTTATTTTGAATTTTAGGTACACAAACTACATAGGTTTCATTATTATTATTATTACTGTTGCAGTGTATGGATTCAAATTAATATATAGACATAACACATAACAAAACATTTACATAACATAGTAATTACATACATACATCATACATACACACGTACGTACATCAACAAAGACAAAGGTGTTTATGTTAAAGATTAAAACCTAAAATTCTAATCAATAGTGATTATAACTATAACCATGATTTTTAAAGGAGTGGACCAGTAAGCCAGCGGAAGGCCTCGGTCAGATGACCAAAAGTTCCAACTGTGGGTCATCATATGACAAAGACCCACGTCAGGAAACACTTGTCCTGTTTCCTGGCAAACCTTACCAAACCAGTGTTTATGTCAGGGACTGCTTAGATAAAGTAAAAGAGACAAAAAAAAAAATGGGTGGTCTACATCTTCCTGGACTACAAGACAGCAGCAGGCCTACTGGCCCATATTAGGCAGGTCCTTCTCAAACCCAGACCCACTAACAAAAATTATTTGCCAATCCTATTTGTATGGGATGCTCAAACAAGTAGCTGCTGACGTTATGTCCAAATATGCGCAACGTCATTCAGTTTGAGGGAGGAAAAGGAAGACCAGGTATGGAGTACAGTCTGAGAGAAAATAGGAAAGAAGTAGCACTGCTTCAGGCCTACTGGCCCATAGTAGGCAAGTCCAAGTCACACCCACTGAAGTAGGAAGGCGCGCAGGTTCACCTCACACCCACGCATGTACTTGCGTAACCTATTTGTTAAAGCTACACAACGAGAGAGAAACAATTCTCGACGAAAGAAAAAAAAAAGATTTGGTGGTTGTGTGAAAGTCTGGAAAACATGACGAACAAGTAGCCGGAGGAGCAAGATTCCCGTCAAATTTCCCTGGGTAGTGTAGTGCTGTAGAAGGCTTGAAGTGACTCTCTGCGTACAGTTTTATCAAGTCACATTGCTCCTTATGTAGAGGTTTATGAAGTCATGTTTCGGTCTGTGCAGAGCAGTGATTCCCAGAGTGGATGGTACCGGCCCCCTGGGGGCGGTGGTAAGATCCAGGGGAGGGTGTTGAGGAAAAAGGGGGCGATAAGGAACGGTAGGGGTTGCATTAGAACTAAGGGAGGGTTTGTTTTACATAATCTATGACAAAAATCTAAGTCACGAACACTTAAAGCAGATGATGTACAAAGAATAAAATCAAGAGTTATACACGAAAGTAGTTTTATTTTATTTTGTGGTCCGAAGTTGGAGCTAAAAGACCGACGAGTCCACTCTGCCAGGCAATTAATCTTTGCTTCTTGCTTATTCGTTTCGTCGAGATGAAAATTTAGTTCAAGAGCTGCTATTTGCAAGACAACAAGTCAGTATTTCGTGTTGTTTGAGAATTTTTTCAAAGAGAAAGACATCCCGCTTACCAACATTCTTGTTTGTGCAACAAATGGGGCACCATCGATTACAGGTTGTCATCGTGGCTTCATCAGTTTCTTGAAAAAGCTCTCCCTGGCGTGTTTACAGTGCACTCTGTAATCCACAGGCAACAACTGGTTGAAAAATACCTAAGTGGTCGACTTCACAAATCATTAAGCACTGTTATCACAGCAGTAAATAAAATCAAGGTACGTGCTCTCAATTCCCGATTGTGTCGACAGTTCTGCGCTGAGAATGATGAAGATTTTGAACTTTGTTGTTGCACACAAAAGTTAGATGGCTGTCAAAGGAAAACTTCCTGAGACGTTTCTCTTCACTTTTTAAAATAGTTGTTGAATTCTTCCAAGACTCCAATTCCGTTCTATATGATGAACTAAAAACATCAAGCATAACATTGCTTATTTGTCAGATAAATTCGCAAAGTTCAACGAAGTTGATTTACAGTTGCAATGAAATGAGGTTAATGTTATCAAAGTCATATCAGCCCTTTCCACTTTTCTGTCCAGGTTACAGTTATATAAACGTAACATACCCATGATATAGCCCGTAGTGAGTTCTTCCAGTTTCCAAACCTCTCTGAATTGGAGAAGAGCATATACGATGACCTTCAAGTGTATTGTGCACACCTGAATGAGCTGCATAGAGACATGTCTGGCAGATTTCAGAATCTTTTTTTTTACTTTAAATACCAGACTGGGAAAGCAATCTATTCCTAGATATCTACAATGAGGAATAAGGAATGGTGAAGCAAGAATTGATTTCACTTCAAAATGACACTGAGATGAGGCCAAAGGTCAAAAAATCAAACCAATATTTTTGGTTACAAAAAAAAAAAAATCTGACAGCACTGTGGACCAAAGTCAGGATGTACTTTATTACCTTCCCAACATCATATTTAGTAGAACGAGGCTTCAGTACAGTCTCTAAGCTTCCCAAGCCAAGAAACAGACTGAAAATTACTGAACGCGGGGATCTAAGACTTCATAGTGACATCAAGACTGATGTTGAGAAGCTGATGTTCCTGCACCCAAACACATTCATCCCATTAAAATTGTGAGGACAATGAAGTTACAGATGAGATGTAAACTTACGCGTTCATATTGTTAAATAAATTGGTTTACTATGTTAATTTTTATTTGTGAAATAAATACGCTTGTTTATAATGTTGGATTAGTTGTCGTTTTGAATTTTCAGTAAATCTTATACCAAGAAAGAGGTGTGCTCGTACATGTGTGTGGGGGGGGGGGGGGTGAGCTAGGGATGTGGCCTGGGAACCAAGGGGGTGAGAGCCTGAAGAAGTTTGGGAACCACTGGTGTAGACCTGTATCAAATCATGTTCTTCTCTATGTAGATCTCTATCA